GAGCTCGCGGTTGAGGTCCGGCAGGGAACACTGGGCGTGGATGGTCGCGGTTGAGGTCCGGCGGAGGAGGCGGAGGAGGAGGAGGAGGCGGAGGACGAGGCGGAGGAGGAGGAGATGGGGCTGACGTAAAACCTAACAACCCTCACCTGACAGGTGGGGAACTAAGGGCAAGGCGGCATGGGCACCTTCCACGAGTTCTTGAAGCTGTGCTGGCGCACAAACCTTCACGCATTCGATGCGCATCTGCCTAAGTGGTGTCGGGCAAAAAGCAATTCCAGCCCTATGCCTCAGACCCATGACTCAGCACAAAAACCCACCAGCCTTGGGCTGTGACAATGTGACCTGATGCCTTTGCAATCTCAGTGGCCACAAATTCCTTTCCTGTTCCGCCAAGCTTCGAAGCGCGCAGAAGCTCCTCCGCAGCAGCGCGCTCCTGCATACTGTCTGATTCATCTTTGTGCAAAATGCACAGTTACCGCAGCTGCCACAATATCCACCAATCGAAGTTCAGGCTCTGTGGATGCCCTTTGAGTTCCTGCATGTCCCTGCCCCTTCTGCAGCTGACCGTGAACAAGTGAAATCCTGACCATACCATACCATACCTCATGTGGCGACCCTTTTCCGCGAGTGCTGTTTTTTTAGTCGCGTGCCTATGACGGGAAGATCTCCGGCAATAGCAGCGCAAGCACTGAGAAACAAGACATTCAGAAGGGTCTGTGTGCGTGTGTCTGCACATAGGTGTGTTGCGTGGGAATTGCTAGCCCTATGCCGAAGTTGATGTGCTATTATCTGTCCACTTCAGCATCGAAGTGAAGTTCAGGAAGGTTGCCCCGATCACGCGTTCTCGATACTCAGCTCCACAATGCGGTTGGCTACCTCCTTCATGGTGGGGTAATCAAACATCAAGGAGGACGGCAGCCTTAGGTTGACCCAGGCATCATCAGCAGCATTGCAAAAGTCAGGACTACTAAGCTTAAACCCATCAGCCAGTTGCACGTCTAAATCCCCCAATAATCACTCTGCCAAGCCACTTTACACCCAGCTGCTGCTGAAGGCCATTTCGGAAAGAGACCGCGGTTAAGCTGTCCTTAGTGATGTCTTGAAGCTTCTGCACAACAAGGACAAAGAGCCTTCAAGATCCCTGAGTTGCAAGCCACTGAAGCCGCTCCACGACTTCACTACATACACTACACACCGCTGACTTATAAGTTCAATCCAAAGCCAGGCAGCCATTCCACTGTCCATCAGCGCACTATCTAGGAAAAGCTCATCGTCTACTCCAATGGCTTGTTTTGCCATTTCGGAGACTGTAGCCTGGCACGGGGTGCCTTGGAACCATAAACCGAGTGTGACCTGAGCATACCTGCTCTTTTTCCCTGAAGTGTTTTGGACAATGCATGTCATGCCTTTTGGACGATTCCTGAAGAATTCCAACTGTGCCGAATTGAGGCCTTTTCATCTATAAGATCTAGGCAGAACTCTAAGAAGAACCTCACCTCAAAGTGAAGACGACCAGACTACTGCTTTGTACTTGGGGCGACTTGACGGTGCGCCGCGCGCGCCTGCACCATGTTGGGGTCCAAGCCCACCTGACTGGAGCTTCAATGTCACTAACAGTTTGGCTTTCAGTGCTCAAAGGGCAATATTATGCTATGATACAATATGGATTCGCATCTCGTACTGTTAACCCTCAGTTAGGGCTTGTTTTGAAAAAGCAACGGGCGTCACTTCCCAGGCAAATCTGACAAAATCATCCAAATGAGAAGCAACAAGGGGGCAGTATCCAAGACTGAAGCCAATGGCTCAAGCTCTCTCCCGCGCCTGCTTTTCCACTGCCACAGCTGATGCAGCCGCTTGTGCAGAGCCGCCTCCGCCCTGGTCAGTCTTTCCATCAAGCACAGCTGGCTTTTGCTTGTTTGTCAGCACAAGCCGTCCTCTGCTTGTTGAGGCATAGTAGGCATCTCACCAGGGTATGGCTGATAGTAGGCATACTTCCTGAATGGCACAGCATTTGGGGTGTCAACTGGTAGGAACTTGACTAAGGTTGTGTCTGTATGCTGTACGTGTGTGTATGTGCATAATTGATTTAAAGACTTTTGTTGATAAATAGATCAAGAAAAAGATTTATAAACCAATGATTAAAGAGTAGTCAATAAACAATCAAGAAATAGATATATTAGTATCTAATATCTACAGTATATTCTATACTATACAATATCTGTTATATGCATATGTGCCCACTAATTTCCTCATGTCTTGGGTCCCGTGAAATGTTGTGAGACTTGCCTGTGGGACATTCAAAGGCTGTACCCTGCAAGATTGAAGACAACTGCTCACAAGCAAGAGGGCAAGGCGCTTTCCCGCGATCTGCTCAATCAATTTGTTAGCATCCTTCTCCTTCTTGGGATCACCACATGCCTTCGCCAGCATAAGCCTGAGTACACCAAACAGCCACAGAGTCAAGGAGGGCAAACCAGTCAAAACAGGCCAAAAGCATGTCTTTGCTGACAGGGTGCCCTTCATTCGCAGCATCTAATGCCTGGCTGATTAAAAAATGCTGGCCAGACCCTGGAAGGATGTAACCAGCATAGCAAACCACGCCTTTTCATCCTCACTCTTGCTGTGGTAGATCTCTGCGATCAAGATCACAGAGCCAGCTTCTCTAGCCCGCTCATCGACTTGTCGGAAAATATCCTGGGACAAAAGTGGAAGGAGCTGAAACCTGGTGAAGCCGAAAGATGCGGAGATGGTCCTGTCACGGTCTCCCTTCGTTTTTCTTTGGCACTTTGCACGACTGCAGAGAAACGGGCGGCCTGTGGACCACTGTCATTCCAAGGCACTACCGCCTCCCGTGCCGCCTTCAAGGCCTCGTCCGGCTTCACCTGGCATGTCGTGTCTTCGCGCTCATGCGTTCACGAAAGGGGCGTCCGAAAAGGGCGCGGCGCATCGAACAGGTGCAACACGCGGCAGGTGAGACCGTGACAAGCAGCACGTAGGCAGTCTGGTGCATGGCCATTCCCATGAGCTTTCCAGCACCAATAGTCTTGGCCACCTGATAGTCCACTTGGCAAAATAGTTCAAAATCATTGAGTGCAGTGGCCCGAAGCAGCTGCAAGGCGCAACTGCGTAGACTTTCAAGCGAATACGTCCAACTCTTTCCGTGGCCTTGTAGGCTTCTTTGGCTGGCTTGAGCGATCGCTCGGAGCCTTTGGCCAAGCCCTTTGGATTGTCCTCGGGTCGAGAAAAGAGTCGGTGCCGACGTGCCGAGACCTGGAGGCCCAGGTCAGGCTGTCCTGCATGGCCAGGGCAATGTTTGCCTCCGAGGACAAAATCAGGTTCTCAGCAAGCTGTCTGCGATCCTTAGCTGCGATCACTTGCTCAAAGGAAGAGCAAACACGCATCGAACAATGATGCAGAATACAATGCGGCAGCTGAAGTCATGCATGGCAAAGTGGAGACAAGGTGCATGTACTCGCTTGCTCAGCTGCACTGCTTCATTAGCTGCCCGAACAGATTCTCCAGGCATCTCCGAGGCCAAGTAGATGTTTGAGAGGGTGCGAATGGCACCCACCTGTCCAGCACTAATCAAGTGAGGATGGTCTTGGAGAACAGGAGCGATTTAGAGACAACTCTTAAACTCACACAAGAAATTCTTAAACTGCAAGCCAACGATGATCGCCTCGGCCCGCATGTCCCCTGCGTGCGGCGGGGATGGTGGGGAAAAACAGAATAATGATTTCCAATTTGTGTGTGTGTCTTCCAGTGTTGATTGCGTAAGGCAATGTCCAGCATCAGATGGAACTCACATATGGGTTCCATTTGCTAGTCAAGCATTCTGAAGGTCAAACCATCCTTACTAAGTCTTACTACTAAATAGTAGTCTGTGGATACTGTAGCCAGTGTGATGTGAGATCTTTTCAAAGGGTTCTGCGCAAGTGCGGATCAACGAGGTGCTGAATGTCAAGTCTCAAAGACCATGTCACCAGGCTGCCTTCGAGCCTCACATCTGGATAAATGCAACGGTTCCATCACACAGCACGGCACCAGTTCCATTGACAATGTCTTCACGTGCCGCCCCACAAACACCAATTGTGATGTCTTCCCAGTAATCCTCCATGCGAGAAGCACATGAAACTTCTCTGGCGCTAATGCTTCCATTGGCGAACAATGAGATCGTGTCAGGCCGATCATCAAAGAAGTGCACGGCAGTCCGTTGAATTGTAAAATTGAAGGTGCGTTCGTACCAACTGCGGATTTCTTCAGCTGCCAAATACTTCTGTAGTGGCTGCTGACCAAGAACAAATGGCGACCTTAAGTGCAAATCGCTCTGAACCATGGTCCCCCAGGACCAGTCTTTGATGTCAGGAAACCGAGCAGAAAGATTGTCCTGGGGCTCTGTTCTCATAATTGTGTCGAGGATGTAGTGGTTCCATGCTGAGTTGACACCGCTGCCTTCACCACTAGAGATGATTCCCAAATAACACTCCTTGCAGAAGGTGGATCGGATGCCAGAGACAGATAACGGCGAAAGAGTTACATTTCCTCGGCCATAAGCTTTGTCGAGGAGGTCCAGCTCCCTTGTTCCAGGGCAGCGCCCTGCGGATCCCTGCTTCGCTGTCAAGGTTCGATCGATGTCGAAAATGCATAGGCAAGATGCTTCCTGGAGGCTTTGAGCAGCTCTACTACAGGTTTCCGCGCAAACATGGCGCCCTTCACCCTGTGCATGCTCACATTCCTGGAGGCCAGCGCAGCACGCAAGCCTGCTACCTGTGGAGTATGGATCCGTTCCAGCTTCGCTGCAGGGCTCTTTCACCGCTTCGCAAAGGTATGTCCATGAGCCGTTGAGGTTCCGCATCTCTTTTTTCAGGCCAGGGCAGCAGTCTATCTCGCTCCCATGGGCAAAGGGTTTCTTGCCCAGAGTGGCGCAACCACCCACATGTGTCTGTAAAAGACTCAGACAGGGGACTTCTAACACATCAGCATTGCCACATACAGCTGCCACTACAAGGTTGAGACTAGTGAAACGCATGGAGGGTGCAGTGGCCGGAGCATGAAATAGCTGCAGGTGCACTCTACTGAAGCCAGAGTAGAATGTCTGTCAACAACAGCCGCCCAGCCTGTTTCTTGCAGCTTGGCGCGCATCTCCTTGGCCAGCGCAACAGCCTGCTCCACCTGCAGAATTGTTGAAGCAAAAATTAAACAGAACAGTGGCAGAGAGAGAGAGAGAGAATGAGAGAGAGAGCAGTCGGTGGAGTTGGAAGGAACCATTTGGGGGCGAATTGCGCCTCCCGCAGGTCGCAGTAGATGTCTGCCAGCACATTGAGAGCTCGAGCCTCACCTGACCTGTCCTTCTTTTCCTGAAAGAGCTCCTGCGCTTCCTGGCTGAATCTCTAAGAACAAACGTCTACATCCGCACTGCTAGAAGCAAATCTTAAGGGATCCAAAATGAGAGCAACATCCAGCCTTGGCGACGCGGAGTGCATCATCTAGCCTGCCTTCAGTGCCATGAACAGTTGCCACCGTCAGCAAGCACGAGGCTTCCTGCAAGGTTGGAGCTTAGAGCGACCTACAGCTTACGACTTGAGGTGAGCATAGCATCAAGAGGCGCACCAAAGTGAGGGAAGAAGTGCGCCTTCTGTGAACAACATCCAGGCCTTGCTCTTGTCACCGGTCTCATTGAATATGGCGGCTTGTTCTTGAGCTGTTTGAATGGCCTGATGTGCAGCAACATGACGTTCTAAAGGTCTGGTTGAATGAGATCAAGGTAGCCTGCCTTCTCATAATCGTTCTTGGCAATTGCCACTTGAGTGATGTAGTTCATGGCCAACGCCTGAAAAATGTCAATTCAGGCCTTCTTTTTCGCAGAGGACGTCACAAGGATACAAACGTCAAAAGAAACCACGTCCAACGACGTCACCACACCTCGCTATGTCTGTCTTTCAGGTCCTGGAGTGAGCTACAGGACCCGTGTCAGGTCTCATGTCTCCAGTTCTGGGACTTCTTTAGGGAGAGAAGGCTTTCCAAAAGCGTCCACAAAAAGAAGAAAAGTGTCCTGGTAAATGGCAATCGCTTCCTCTGCAGCAAAGGCTGCTTCGGCATACGACTCTCGCAGCCTTAGGAAATGAATGAGGCAAAACCTGTATCCTTTTGATATTGGTTAATGATCACGAGACAGCGGGCTGGTGATTACAATTGAAGTCTGTCATGCATATCGATAATGGAAATCTGAGCGGCATGTGAACTGAAGCCAGCTGATGAAGAATACTTGCCTCCCACCTCCCATCGCGCACAAGGGAAAGAATATCACACCCCTTTTGCGGTCGAGGAATAAGTTGAGTCCTCCAGCAAAACCTGCCTGGTGTCATCCAAGCTCTGAATGATTTCTCGTGTCTCTTCAATCAAGGGCACAGCTGCTTCGTAGTCACCTCGCTTCCAGTTTCTCCATTCGTCTCCCAAAAGGCGTGGCCAGTCAGTTAGAACAAAACGCACCGTGTCCGTAGAATGAACAAAACAGCACCTGTTTTATAGCCAGGCGACCCTTCGCGCAATAGGAGTTTGCAAGTGTGCTCAAAGCCATCACTTGTCCTAGCAGGATGTGGCAGGAGAAATGGATGGGTATACCGGGTTTGAGGCTTTGGGGGATTGCTACAAGCTGCCACACTTGCCAAACCTGCCTCTCTTATCTTTCTTGCGCTGAAAGTATTCGACCGCCTCTTCCGATATGATCATTGCTTTCTTTGCGTCACCCTGGACAGAACATAATTTGGCAAAAAAATGAAAAAGAAGCTGGCGCCTAAGCTACACCGCACCTTGCAAATGAATGCTTGGGTAAGGCAATCGAACGCATTGGAGGTCCAACCAGAGCCATCAAAGTCCACTTCTTTGAACAGCTCCAGAGCGTCCTGTGGCAAAATGCTTTCTTTGGATCATGTGTTGGCATTTTCTTTAAAGGTCAATCACTCGGTGTTTTCGCATCTCTCCACGGTGAGTACCTGTCCTCGGCATATGGAATCGCCTCTCGGCCCATTTTTCGGGTGAGATAGTAGTGAGCAATGATGAAGAGCTCGAAGGCTTCCAGTTTACGAAGTTCAAGCTCTTTGAAAATGGCCAGCGCTTGCTCGGCAGTCTTGATACCATCATCAAAATCTTCAGCCAAAACCTCAACTCACACATCTTATTAGCAAATCAAACGATTCCTTCCAAACATCCAAGGAACCTGGGCTAGGGCCATGATGTGCAAGGCCTTTCCCTGGCCCTTTTTGTCAGCTGCTTCCTAGCCACAGCAATTGGACGTGGACCACAGCAAGACTCTCAAAATGAAGTTGCAAACAGCAGGTGGTCGGTCACGAAGACTGTTTCTTAATTCAGAAGAAACCCATGCGCCTCATAAAGTTTGTAAGATTCTTGCGCAAACATGTAGGAATCGTCATTCTGCCGAAGCTTGATGGCTGCGTTGGCTTGAACGAAAATCGCGGTCGCCTCGACCTGCCCAGACAGTGTGGAGACTTGGCATCATCTCTACAAGTGTTGCCAAGACTTCCTGCCTTCTTGTCACCAGCTTCTTTAGCTAGTGCCCTCGCTTTCTTCAGGTCTTCGAAGGCTTCTGCCCTCTTCTTTCCACCTTGCATGCTGAATATCAGGCTTCTTGGGGCACTCGGACATCCAAGCCCGCTTGTGAGAACCGAAAAACAAATAGAGTTTGGGGACCGTGCCCGGCAACAGGAAAAGGTAGCCAAAACAACAAGTCTTCGGGGGCAGGGTAGGGAACATGGAAGATACTACATACATGTACTTGCAAAAACACCATTTGAGGAATTATATGTGTGCATCTTGTATGTGTATGCGTGTGTGTGTGTGTGTGTCACACTCTGTTTCTAAGAGTTTTCCACAAGCAGGGGCGTGAGGCTCGACACACCTACCTGACGCAACGAAGCTATGGCGCGTCGAGGGAAGCAGCCAGAGACGTCTGACTGTGTACCTGCGGAATATTTTCACTAGCTGTTACTCCAATCTTTCCTTGTTTGTTTCCATGGTGGTTTCATGATACTTCCCACAAACCCTCTCCCCACCGCCGCTTTGCAGCCGCTTTGCAGCCGCGCTGAGTGTCAGATCGTTTTCGAGCGCACTTGCAAACAATGTTCAACATTTCATTTCCGCGGACTTTGCCACATTTGCGTTCCCTCATTCATTTCCTCGGGGAACTGATGTAACTGCAAACCCATTGTCTAAGTGTGTGCCGCTGTGTCGTCCCACTTGGGTACACAGTGTGGTCCCCCGCAGTCCCCGCAAGGGGGCGCTGCTTTCATTCCGGAGTATCGTGTAACTGATTCAACTTTGTTCTGCATGCGTTGGATTCTCTTAACTGACTTTCGTCTCACTCACCGTACTCTCGAACTTGAAACCGCCGGGTCCACGGAAATTCGAAGCCGCCGGGCATATGGAGAATTAAACCCCGACGTGTTCTCTACCCAAACATCCCAAACCCCCCCTCCCTCTAATTAGGGTAACAGAGGGAAATGGTACTCGACACACTTGTGTGTCGGCGTCCCTTTTCTAGTCTACTCTACCCGGGCGGTGTAAGACTAAAGTCCCGCTCCCTAACTATTGCACCTAATTCACTTCGGCTAAGTAATCAGTAACTCTAGAGTGCTAGGTATTCATACACACACAC